CAATCTTATATACTACTGTGAAGCAGTATATAAGTCTAAGTGCTATTCTAATTCTACTATTTCTATTTCTACTATTTCTATTTCTACTATTATTTCGATTTCTATTATTATTTCAATTTCTATTATTTCGATTATTATTTCTAATTCTATTCTATTCTATTCTATTCTACTCCATATTTTCTATTCTATTCTATTCTATTCTATTCTATTCTATTCTACTCTACTCTACTCTACTCTACTCTACTCTACTCTACTCTATACTCTATTCTACTCTACTCTACCCCTATCCCTACTCTATCCTGAGCCTAGTCTATACCCATGATGGCGAAGTGGTTAGAATGCAGCATTGCAGGCTGACTCTGCCCACTGCCAGCAGTTCGATCCTCACCGGCTCAAGGTTGACTCAGCCTTCCAAGGTCGTAAAGTGAGGACCCAGATTATTGGGGGCAAGATGTTCACTCTGTAAACCACTTAAGAGCGAGCTTGAAAGCACTGTGAAGCAGTATATAAGTCTAAGTGCCATTACTATATGCACCTGCACCAGAAGCTATTAGCAAAACGGCCCAATCACATTTCTGCCTCACTCCAGCCTTCCTGGAGTAAATTTTTGGTGAAATAATAAAGAATGGCATCTCGGCACCTCAAAGTCTTTTTTACCTCGATGAACAAACAAATGAACCTCTGTTAGAATGTCCTGTAAAGCCAAGCCCTTCAAGGTTTTCAATTCCAGGATATCTGAGCAAAATGTCAAGGAGAGCCAGGTTCCATGGTATGGTCTGCAGCCCAAATCAATCTATCTATCTATCTATCTATCTATCTATCTATCTATCTATCTATCTTTCTTTCTATCTTTCTATCTTTCTATCTTTCTATCTAATCTATCTTTCTTTCTTTCTTTCTTTCTTTCTTTCTTTCTTTCTTTCTTTCTTTCTTTTCTATCCATCTATCTTTCTATCTAATCTATCTATCTATCTATCTATCATCTATCTAATCTATCTATCATCTATCTATCTATCTATCTATCTATCTATCTATCTATCTATCTATCTATCTATCTGATAGATAATGGTCTTCAAGAAAAAAGGAAAGTAGAAAAAAAAGGGGGAAAGATATCAAGAAAAATATTGCAGGCGCTTCCAGTATTCTTTCCAGCCGTTATAGAACAATGGTAAGGCTGGAAGGCACCCCACCCCATCTTATCCCATCTTTTCTATTCCATTCCATTTCCACCACATCCCATTCTATATTTTCTATTCTATTCCATCCCAGTAAGCCCCCTGCACACGGACTCCCACTTGAAGGATACTGCGGTAGGCAGAAGTGAAGTCCAGATTCAGCATCCAGTCCAGGATGTTGGCGATGTCAGACTTGAGCGGCTGCCCTGTGCAAGTGTAGACGGTCTCTTCGGTCACTTTTCCGAAAGCCATGTACGTGCTCTGCAAAGGAGGAAGAGAGAGATGAGGAATCACGGGCTCCTTTGCTCAAGCAGGGTCATTAATCCAGCGAAGGCCAGTTGCTGGCTTAAGAGGAAGAAAAGAACTGGACTAAACCCCTGGCCGTTGAACCAACTTACGACCACAACTGAGCCTACTGCGAGCTGTTAAGCGAATTTGTTAAGCGAGCCTTGCCCGCATTTTACGAGTTTTCTTGCCACATTTGTTAAGTGAATCTTCTCCTCCTCCTCCATTAACTTCTCTTCTTCCTCCTTCTTTCCTTTTTCTTCCCGTCTCAGCTAACTCTTCTTCTTTTTCTTTTCCTTTTTCCTTCTTCTCCTCCCCTCCCCCTGCCCCTCTATTAACTTCTCCTTTTCTTCCTTTCCTTCTTTCTCCTGTGTCTCAATTTCTTCTTCTTCTCCCTCTACTCCTCCTCAACTTATCCTTCTCTTCTTCCTCCTCCTTTCTTTTTTCCTCCCGTGTCTCAACAAGAGGAAGCCACACCTGGGTGGAAGCCTTACCTGCAAGATGTTCAGGGATCTGCGCATATCGCCGTTGGACAGCGTCACCAAGGCTTTCATTCCGTCATCGCTGACATCAACGCTGAAAGAGCAAAGAGGAATCAAATAGGTTGCCGAGAACCCTGATGTTTCCTGCACACCCATCCCCTCCCAGCGATCCTACACAACAGGCCACACAACTGTGAAAATCTCATTTTCCATCCAGCACTCTTCACCAGAATTCTGGAAATGTTAACATTTTACCAACATCATTCCCAAAACATATGAAGAATGGCTGCAGGAACTGGGCCTGGCTAGTCTAGGGAAAAGAAGGACCAAGGGAGACAGGAGAGCAGTCTTCCAATATTTGAGGGGCTGCCACAGAGAGGAGGAAGGGGTCAAGCTATTCTCCAAGGCACCCAAAGGCCAGAGAAGGAATAATGGGTGCAAACTGAACAAGGAGAGATTCAGCCTGGAAGTAAGGAGGAATTTTCTGACAGGGAGAACAATCAACCTATGGAACAGAAGTTGCTTTCAGAAGTTGTGGGAGCTTCATCCCTGGAGGCTTTCAAGAAGAAACTGGACTGCTCATTTGTCAGAAATTCTGTAGAGTCTCCTGCTTGGGCAGGGGGTTGGACTAGATGACCTACAAGGTCCCTTCCAACTCTTGATTATCTGTTATCATGCCCATCTGCTATCTTTGGACTGGGGTGGTGGTGGTGTATCGTGTTTTTCTGGCTTTAGGATTCCGCAGAAGGACTGAAGTAGAAGGACAATCACACACTATATAACAGTCGTGACAATTTCATGAATGTATTAGGCGATCGCCCTTTGATTTAACTCTTATTTCATCCCTTTTTTTGAGATTAAGGTTACAATGGAAAGGAATAATAGAATAATGGAACTTGGAAGGAAACTTGGAGGTCTTCTAGTTCAACCAGCAAGAGATCCTATATCCTTCTGGACAAATGGCTGTCTAGTCTTTTTGAAAACCTCCAGGGATGGAGCACCCACAACTTCTGGTGGCAAGCTGTTCCACTGGTTAATTGTCCTCACTGTCAGGAAGTTTCTTCTTAGCTCTAGGTTGGATCTCTCTTTGATAAGCTTCCATCCATGAAGTCTTGTCCTGCCCTCAGGTGCTTTGGGGAAGAGGTTAACCTCTCTGTGTCATCCCCTCAAATATTGGAAGGCTGCTCTCATGTCACCCCTGGGAGGGGAGGATGAGTGGCAGGGCCGCCAGTGATGGCACAGGGAGCCGTAGCAGAGGGCCCAAAGAGCCGCATACGGCTCTAGAGCCATGGGTTGCTGACACCCGCCCTAGTCCTCCTCTTCATAGCAGGCTCATTGATGTTCCCAACCAGAAGCTAATGGAGGCGGATGCCACATTTTGCAGAAAAATCGTGGTTACAAAGCCAGAAAATTGCATCTCTGACTCCCTTCTGTCAACTCCCTCTGAGGCTTTTTACTCACTTCTCCTTCTCAATGACATGCTTCAACCGAGGAACCATGAGTTCTGGCGTCAAAGGGCCAAACCGGAACCTGGTGCATCTGGACTGTAGAGCTGGGATTATTTTGGAGAGGTAGTTGCAGATCAAGCAAAATCGGGTGTTCTCCGTGAATTTCTCAATCACTGGAAAAGACGTATAAAGTCAAAAGTTTAGGTTAGTGCTGCCAAATTCACGGCAACAGCAGTAGCACTTAGACTTATATACCGCTTCATAGTGCTTTCCAGCCCTCTCTAAGCGGTTTAAGAGCCGGCCTCTTGCCCCCAACAATCTGGGTCCTCGTTTTACCCACCTTGGAAGGACTGAAGGCTGAGTCAACCTTGAGCCTGGTGAGATTCGAACTGCCAAGTTGCAGGCAGCCGGCAGTCAGCAGAAGTAGCCTGCAATACTGCACTCTTAACCACTGCACCACTGTGGCTCTTTTAAGCAACCTTAAAGGCAGACCATCAGCCATCCTGTTGGGACAGCGGATCAAGACGCCTACCATCAAAAAGGAAACAGGAATCGTGTCTAGGTCTCTAGGTCTTTCTAGGACGGGGCATCAACTCACCACGCCGGAGAGCGTTTTGTGCATCCTGGGTCATGGCGTCAGCTTCATCCAGAATCACCAGCTTAAAACCTTTCCTAACAGGACAAGAGAAACAAGAACTGGGAACTCTAAAAATTAAATATATACCCACCCGTTGATCACAGATTAAACTCAATCTAGTTGTAGAGTTCAAACTCCCCTTTAATGCTCCAAATGTCCCCTCAAATGCTCCCACACAGTCCTTCAAACTCCACATGTCTGTAATGGCACACCCAACTCTACCAATTCAGCATCTGTTCCCGACAAATGCTCCTCCCCATAGCGTCTCCTTAAATCTCAGTCCCCCAGGGGTGCCTTGTGAAGAGGGGCGGGACACTTTCCTCCCGAGTAGTCGGGTCAACCCGCGTTGTTCCCACCTTCTCTCCACTCTCCGTGCTCAGGGATCAGGAGGGGGATGCTCCTTGCTCATTGCCTGAGCTTTGGCACTCCTTATGTCCACTGCTTGCCCTCTCTCGGTCATCCTGCCCTCGTTCTTCCCTGCTAACAAGCCATCCCAATCCTGAGGGGACCTGGACTGCCTCAGCCTGCTCCTCCCCACATTCCTCCAAAGCCCATGAAGCCGCCCCTCGATCTCCGCCGGCTCCAGCTCCGGCTAGTCCTCCGCCCGCAGATTCAGGCTCCCGACATGGGCATGACAGACACATAACAGACAGATATGTACACATCTGGCCAGAAAATTGTTTTTCCAAGGAATTCAATTTTCAGAGGAGAGAAGTCTCAAAGGTGCTTACTTGAAGATGGTTCTGGTGCTGGCAAAGTTCAGGATAGGCCCTCTGACAATATCAATGCCTCGGTCGTCAGAAGCATTTAGCTAAACGAAGAAGGAACGTGCGTTAAGAGCCTTGGTGGTGCAATAGTTAGAATGCAGTACGGCAGATTAATTCTGTTGACTACCAACAGTCTGATTCTCATTGGCTCAAAATGGACTCAGCCTTCCATCCTTCCAAGGTAAAATGAGGACCCAGACTGAGGGGGCAATAGGCTGATTCTGTAAACTGCTTAGAGAGGGCTGCAAAGCACTGTGAAGCAGTCTTAAGGGCTATTGCTATCTATCTCCATGTCTATCATCCACCCACCCACCCACCTATCTATCCATCATCTCTCTCTCTCTATCTATCTATCTATCTTATTCCTATCTTCCTGTCTATCTTCCTATCTATCTTCCTATCTATCTATTCCTATATTCCTGTCTTTTTTTTCTTTCTCTTTCCTTTCTTTCTTTCTTTTCTTTCTTTCTTTCTTTCTTATTCCTATTTTCCTATCTTCCTACCTATCGTCCTTCCTTTTTATCTTCCTTCCTACCTACCTACGTATCATCTCTATCTAAGAGCCGTGGTTAGAATTGGTTAGAATGCACTATTGCAGGCTAATTCTGCTGACGTGTTTTCCACGTCTTTTTCCTAGAGCTTTTTAATCTCCATCTTTTATAACCAATATTTGAAATGGGACCCGAAATGAGTCCGAAATATAAACACATAGAACAGGACCTTGCCAACAGAATGCTGCAACGTAAACAAACAATGTGCTTGCAGGAATTCCACCCCCCCTGCATCCACTGGAAAAGCGATCCAGGTCTAGAAGTGGTTACCTCTAAAACCATGGAGCCAAATTCTCTCTGTTTGTAAAGCTGTTTAGCGCAGGCGAGAATTGTAGACGTCTTGCCAGTCCCCGGAGGTCCATAGAGCAAGAGATGAGGCAAATGATCCTCGCTGATGAATTTCTGTACTGGTTGAGAGAGAGAGAGAGAGAGAGAGAGAGAGCAGAGATGGCGTCGTATGGCTGCCCCGAGCAACAAGCAATAAACCTTTCGCTTGGCTGACAAATCACTTCTGCTTTACCTGTTAGCTTATCTATTTGTACTTCTCCAATTCTAGGGTGCCCTCATAGATGGTTGCATTTTAAGAGCACACGCTGGCCCGCAAGCCAAGGGGCGCAAGAGATGTAAACAAAATATTCATTTAATCATCAAATTTGTATGGCCACCCATCTTGCCAAAAGGAAGTCTGCACATGATGTATATCAGCTTTGTAAATCAGTGTATAAATGTCATTTGGTGGCGGTAATCAGGCAGCATAAAAATGTAATAACGATAAGATGAAGGAAAAGGAGAAAGGAGGAGGAGAAGAAAGAGAAGGAGAAGAGGAAGGAAAGGGGAAAGGGGGGAAAGAAGAAGAAAGGAGGAGGAGGAGGAGAAGGAAGAAAGGAGACGGAAGAAAGGAGAAGAAGAAGAAGAAGAAGAAGAAAAAGAAGAAAAAGAAGAAAAGAAGAAGAAGAAGAAGAAGAAGAAGAAGAAGAAGAAGAAGAAGAAGAAGAAGAAGAAGAAGAAGAAGAAGAAGAAGAAGAAGAAGAAGAAGAAGAAGAAGAACTAGCTATCCTGGGTCCTTGGAAAGGACTTGATAGATGGACAACAATGCCAAGTCCAGTTTAAACATCTGGCGGACTGTCTGATGATCCATCATAATAATATTGTGTTTCCCCCCCATGCCTATAGCAGCTTCCTTCTCTACTAAGGGGATTATTTTTAAAGCTGGGCTTATCTCTTTGATCTCTCCTTTTTCCACCATGCCACTCAACTACCAGTATCTGTACAGAATTTCTTGCCTTCTACCAATTTGCAGGAGAATTTTCCCAGAGGTACATTTGAACCGGAGACCAGGATGTAATTACACTGCTATACAAATTGGTTTATTGATTGGCCTGGAAGCAGACGGAGCTCAAAGAGGGGGTGGAGTTACAATCTGCTTTTATAGATTTATGCAAATTAAGGTCTACAAGTAATTGCATAGAGTAGGAGGGTTTTTTATTAGGGATGCACAACAGCAAGGATTTGATCAAACATAGGGGATGATTCATCTGGTCAGGTCTGTAAAAGAATGAGGAAATAAATAAAAATATATATTATTAAGAGGTTATGTGGCAGGATTGGAAAAACATGGAAAAAACAATGTTTTGAAAGAACAAAGAGACCCTATTCTGTAAACATAGTTTCTTTTTAGGGAGTTAATTTTCAGAATTGGGCAATAACAATAACAACAAATAGAATTAGAATTAAATTCTTTATTGGGCAAGTGGGATTGGACACACAAGGAATTTTGTCTCCGGTGCATAAGCTCTTAGTGTACATACAAGCAACAAGTGATAAGTCAGGATCATAGTCCTCATAAAATACAATCATAAGATACAACATTTAGGTATAGTCATAGGATACTAAACAAGTGATCAACATAAATCATACTAAGGATACTAAATAAAAAAATATAAATTGTAAGATACAGTTATAGTCATAAGAAAATAAGAAGATAGGTAATAGGAAAAATGAGAAGAATAGTAATATAGCCTTACTAAATAGTTTGATAGTATTGTGGGAACTAGTTGTTTAGCAGAGTGATGGCAAGGAGGGAAAAACTGTCCTTGTGTCTAGTGCAATGCAAGCAGTTATAAAAGCAATTAAGAGCTAATTTAATTATAATAATTAACAATCCCTTACTATAGTCCATACAGGTTGGAAACGAGGGCAGCTGAAGCCTCCTTTACTGGCCACTCAAAACTGAGAGTGAACTGCATGTCGCTAAATATCAATATTTGCACAGCTATTGAATACTTACTGGTATTCAGAATGTCCTCATGAGAAATTAGATCCCCGAGGGTCTGAGGCCGGTACTTCTCCACCCTGCGAATAAAAATAAAATGCAAATTTTCACAACTAGAGAATCCGTTATTTCCCAACAACGGGACAATTTTTATTTAGAGTCTCAGTGGCGCAGTGGTTAGAGTTCTGTACTGCAGGCCACTTCTGCTGACTGTCGGCTGCCTGCAATTTGACAGTTCTAATCCCACCAGGCTCATGGTTGACTCAGCCTTCCATCCTTCCGAGGTCCCAGATTGTTGGGGGCCATATGCTGACTCTGTAAAACCGCTTAGAGGGGGCTGTGAAGCAGTATAAGTCTATTGCTATTTCTGTTTGGAGCTAAGGATGGAGGAAGCTCCCTCCTGTGCAGCATGGTGGTTGCAAAAATAAAAATGCATTGCTAAAAGTTAAAAAACAAAGTGTTCTGTTATGTCCTCAAGCACAGCTTCCCACCCATTTGCTGCTGGCTTCTCTTCCTTTTCTGTGCAAAGTGTGGGTGGTAAAAGGATGTGATACAGATAGATACAGAATAACAGAGTTGGAAGGGACCTTGTAGGTCATCTAGTCCAACCCCTCGCCCAAGTAGGAGACCCTAGCCTACACCATTTCTGACAGATGCATGATGCACCCCCCTGGGGGCTCCTTTGCCCTCAATCAGCCCCCTTATTGCAAATCCCCTGGCTGCTTTTGCAACCCCACTCCCACCCCCCAATAACATAAAACAACCCCAACCCCAGCCAGGAAGGTAGAGCAGCGTTCTGCACATGCTCAGAAGCACATTCTTTGCAGAATACACGCCTGGGCATACCAGTACGCTAAGCCCCGCCCTCTAAAAGGGACCCCCCCCCCAAGGAGGAAGAGCGGTCCCTCGCGCCTGTTTCTGCCTAGCCCTAGCTCCGTCTCTTAGCAACCGAGCATCCTCTCCCCCGCCCGTTCTTTTCCTCCCCCCCACCCTTACCAAGGTAAGTTCGCGCTCCTTCCGGCCACCGTCGTCGCCGCTGCCTCCGCCGAACGTTCCATTCTCTCTCTCACCCCGGAAATTCCACGCAGCCGCAATTTCGCGCTTGGCGCCCTGGCCGGCCCTGCTCTCGCGAGAGGGGGAGCGAGACTTCCGCGCGGGAGCTCCGCCTCCGCCCTCGTTGCTAAGGCCTCTTCGGACGGTCGCTAAGGGGTGCGGCCTACACTGTAAAGTGACGGCCGGGAAGGGCCGAGAGGCCTCCCGGCTGACTTATGAATTACGCCACCCTCGCTTTCCACTCGCCTGGGTTGGGGTGTAGTGGTACACCCGCCCGACTTTTGGGGCTCTGACGCCTGGGACCCCTGGTCTGCAGCGTTGCGTCTTGTTTGGGCTGACAGGCTGAGGAGCCGAGGGTTGCGAGACCACCAGAAGATCCCAGAACTGCCTTCTGAAGGGGGGAGTCTATTAAAAAAAGACGAGGGGGCAAATAACAAAACAACGCCAAGCACCTCCATACTGTTATTGGGGAAAACCTGGCTTTGAAGTGAAGAGCCAGTGGCTTTTTTTCCTTTCTTCCTTATCCTCAATTTTTAGCAGCTTTAATAATAACAACAAAAATAAGACCGGAAGAGAAGAAGGTGAAGCCAATGTGGAAAAAAAGGAAAACAAAAACGAGCCAGCAAAATAATAAAGCCGCGCGCTATGAAACTGAAAACTCTGTTCTTACAACACAGAATGAATATTGAATCCACGGAGAAATATTAATTGGAATTTCCATTACGTGGACAGAGAGCCAGTCTGCGTATGAGCTTACCCAGGTCCTCTGTTGGGGATTTTAAATAAGGTGAAACAGAGTTTTTCTCTTGGAAGAGGACACGCTTTTGAGTTGCAGAATAAGCCCAGAGTTCTTGGTGAAATCTACATTTTCAGGGTGTAATTTAACCCTACCTTCACAAGCTGAAATCTGACCTCGAATCCAAGCACTGATTAACAAAACAGTGCAACTAGCCCACAACCTAGATCGCCTCCCAAATATTGCATTTCCAACTTTTAAGAAATTTCAACCCAACCCTTACTGGACATCCTCTGTGGAGAAGGTGATTTAAGCACACTTGAAGATCATGGCACAAATTCAATTTTCTTGTAAGTAGTATGTCGATTTATTAAAAGCAAAATATTCCAACACTTCCAATAAGTTGTGCACCAGAAGTCAAAATTGATTTGAAAGAGGTTCTCTTGATTCAAAATTACACTTCCCTTTTGATTATAAACTCAGGATTTCATTGAAAGCCTTGAAACATGATTGCAATGATAAAATACCTGAAGGTAACTTCAAAGTACATTTAAAATTCCTCCCTCTTATTTGCATGTCCATGTAGCAGACACAATCCCTATACCAAACAGATCCTGCTTATTTCCTCTAGTCCATTTTCACTATAAATTGTGGACTCGAAGATTTGAAGAATCGTTACTGCAGTAATAAACATATTTGAAGGCAACATTTCATTACTATGTTTAAAATTCTGTTTCCATTTGTGTGTGTTGCAGCTTAGTGCCAAATGTATCAAAACCCTGAAGCTTTTGTTTACTTTTTTGTTTATTGACAATAGCAATATGTTTCCAATTCCCTTCAGATGAGTTGATTTCAACTCTTGTTAATTCCCAGCCTACAGGTATACATGATGACTATAGATATAGAATAAGCCTTCCTGGTACCTGGTATACTTACATTCTTCACAGTAGCATCCTAGACTTTTACTCCAAAGGGCTTCTTACTGCTCAAGCCTGCAACAAATTGCATTGACACATTACTCTAAACCATGGTTTGTTTAGTACTTGAGGGGCGGTCACAAAAAGAGGAGACTGAGGGCATCTCTAGGGCATCCGATGGCAGGACAAGAAGTAATGGGTGGAAGAGATACAACCTCTAAAAATAAGGAGAAATTTTCTGACAGTAAGAGCAAACAATCAATGGAATTGCTTGTCTCCTGTGGTTGTAGGTGCTCCGTTACTGGAGGTGTTAAAAATAGACTGGACAATCATTTGACTGGGATGGTATAAGGTCTTCTGCCTTGAGCACGGGGTTGGACTAGAAGATCTCCAGGGTCCCTTCCAGTCCTATGATTTTATGCTGTATGCTCTAGCCAGTTAACTGGATTCACGCACTTAAATCTGGTTAACAAACCTCAGCAGATCACACAACATACTAACCCTTTCAACAAATGGCATATTTGTTCAGTCACTAAGAGTCATGTCCGACTCTTTGCAACCCCATGGACCATAGCACACCAGGACTCCCTGTCCTCCACCGTCTCTTGGGGTTTGCCCAAATAAAATGGCATGTTACAGGTGAATAAAATCAATGGCTCCAGCTACTTATTCCCATCCCAAGACAGACTGCATAAAAATCTACCACTTCCTTCCAGGTGCCAGCCTCTCTTGAAATTGCCACACACTGTGGAGAAACAGAATGGGAAAATTGACTGAGTGGATGAAAGCGATGAAGAAGTCACGGCTAAAACCCAGACTGCATTCCCCCCCCGCCCCCCAGATACGGTAAGAAAAATACATGCAGAATGAAAGCATATTTTACTCAAAATTCGCTCTGGCACAACCTTTGGGGTCTGAATGTATGTCACGTTTGAATATGAATCATTTGAGGCAACATGCACACACACACACAAACACTAGAAGTATTTGTTGGAAGAAATGTCCATCTGGGTTCAGTTCCAAGTGGGAAGAAGGACACTGGAAACATGGAGACTGCTTGGAAAGATGGTTTAATGGTGGACAGGACCACATCGAGGTCCTGGGCGAAAAACAGCACATGGGTGAGAGAGGGAGAAAGATTTATACCCTCTGTTGGGCTTTGAACTTGTTTCCTGTTCCTGTGGCAAGAAATTTATCCTGATTGGTTGTCAGACTCCCATGGGGCTGTGCAGGGGTAACTTTGTAGGTTGTCTTGAGTCCCAGGATTGATTAAATCTTGCTGAATGATGTAAAGGGCTTTGGGCAATTCCTATTATGGCTTAATGGCTTTGCCCTGAAGGATCTTGAGTGAGGGCATTTGCTTATGAATAGCCATCTCTTGATCTCTTAAGTGCTGGCATCTGCTGTGGGCTATTGAGGAGGGTGGGGGCTATTAAGAGTGTGTCTGCTTCCTGCCTTAAAAAACATGTTTCTCCATTTTTCATCCAGGGAAATATAATATTCTGCCATTTTAATATTTCCTAGAATATTTCATTCTTCTAGGAAAGGGGTGGGTGCTAACTTCTTACATATGTTATGGATAAGTGTTACAATACATATTAAAATAAAAAGTCCAAGTGCTTTTGTTCTTCGGATTAAAGTACAGGTAGCCCTTGATTTGCAACTGAGCCCAAAATTTCCATTGCTAAGCGAGACGGTTGTCAAGTGAGTTTTGCCCCATTTGACGGCCTTTCTTGCCACAGTTGTTAAGGGAATCACTGCGGCTATTAAGTCAGCGACACTGTTGTTAAGTGAATCTTCCTTCTGTTGGAAGAAATACCCTTCTGGGTTCAGTTCCAAGTGGGGAAGAAAAACACAGGAAACATGGTGACTGCTTGGAAAGACGGTTTAATGTTGGACAGGACCACATGGCTTGGAGCTCCAAAGTGAAAAGGATGATAAAAGGGGAAAGATGCTGGGAGTGCCTGGGTTTTATGCCCTCTGTTGGGATTTGAATTTCAGCTTGCATTCTGATTGGTTGTCAGAGTCCCGTGGGGCCATGCAGGGGCAACCCTGTAGGCTGTCCTGAGTCCCAGGCTTGGTTGAGCCTTGCTGGATGATGATGATGTAATGAAAGGGGTTTGGGCAATTTCTATTATAGTTGTACCTGGAGTAGATCTTTGCTATGTAAAATAGACTGGCCTAGACCAGAGTAATGGTCCATTAGCAAAGGGGTGTGTGTGTGTGTGTGTGTGAGTGAGTTTCTGCCTCTTTGAGTTTCTACTTTTTAGGGGAAATATTCTGCCTTTTTAGTATATCCTAAAATATTTCATTTTCCTAGGAGAGGGGTGGGTTTTAACTTCTAACACTTCCCTATTGACTTCGCTTGCCAGAAGGTTGCAAAAGGGGATCACGTATTTCCGGGACACTGCAACCGTCATAAAAATGAGTCTGTTGCCAAGTATCTGAATTTTGATCCCATGATTATGGGGATGTTTCAATGGTCGTAAGTGTGAAAATCAGTCCTAAGACATTGAACAGTCTCTAAACAAATGGCTATAAGTCAAGGACTACCTGAAGTCATAGGTTATGACCCCAGCCTGATAGAGAAGTTTATCTACTTCCTAAATCCAGATGCTCAGCCTTTTCATTTGAAGAAAGATGCTATAATACTTCTGCTATTTTCATTGCCCTGCTTTGCATAATCTCTCCCAAAGGTTTTTTCCCCCCTTTTAACCTCATCAGTAGGGTGAACAGAATACCATATTTGGCAAGGCATTACTTATATTGTGTGACCTCTAATCAGTAAGTTCGTATTAAACCACAAGCATTTAAAAAAACACAAAAAACCCAAAACCTCAAAGCTTAGTGTCTCCTTGAGAATTTCCACAAACGCGGCTCAGTCACCCTACCCTCCTACACCGAATTCTGACTAAAGTTTCACTGTTGACAAGAAATGTTCCACGGGGAATCATGACATGCTGGTACCTCTCTCAAGCGAGATAGGGTTGCGGGCTTCCCAGGCACATGTTAGATAAGAATGTATTAGAAGCGAAGGAAGGGATTATTATTCGTTTTCTTGGATGTAAGCCTGTCTTACTCTGACTCATTTGTTCCTTCATTTGCCAAGCAAATTAATACATTTCCTTGGATGTAGCAGCCAAGGAAGGGAGCCTCCACACTTGAGGCTTCGAAAGAGAAGTTGGTTGAAGATTATATTTACTTAGGTAGATTGCATCTATTTATGCAATCTATAACAACCACAACAACAACCGAGCTGCTAAAATAATTCACTGGAAACTATGCCAAAAGTTTGGATTTGAGTATAGTAACAACTACTGGGAACATCAGGTTGAGAAGATTCTGGAGAATGAAAAAGTCAAGATCTTGTGGGACTTCAGAATTCAGACGGACAGGCATTTGGCCCACAACACACCTGACATAACAATAGTTGAGAAGAAAAGGGTTTGGTTCATTGACATTGCAATACCTGGTGATGCACGAATTGTAGACACGCAGCAAGAAAAAAATCACAACGTATCAGGACTTACAAATGGAAGTTGAGCGATTTTGGAAAAAGAAATCGTGTGTTATACCAATTGTAATTGGAGCCCTTGAAGCAATACCTAAAGGGCTGCCTCGCTATTTGGAAATCCTGAATTTATCAGACTTGAATACCCATATTCTACAAAAACCACCCTACGTGGAACAGCTTATATCCTCCGACACTACCGGAACCGTTTCTAGCTCCTTGGTTGGACTCGAACTGTTGAGCTACCAACCAGCCCCAAAGGCTGTGAATCTCACGAAAGATAATAATAATAATAATAATAATAATAATAATAATAATAATAATAATAATAATAATAATAATAATAATACATAAAACAAAACAGGGGTAGCCAACCTAGGTGACTTTAAAGACTTCAACTCCCAGGGAGTTGAAGTCCACAAGTCTTAAAGTTGCCAAGGTTGGATCTCTCTGAATTAAAGCCACCTTAAAGAGTAATAATACCTCTCATCTTCAGGCTGAGAAATTTGCTATGTTGATTTTTCCAGATTGCAGGAGATGGCCCAGGAGAAGTCAGGCAGCTTCTCCTCTCCATCTGCAATCATTTTAATGTAGTAATTGGCCTATATATTTATTCATTGCTACCTTCCCAAGAAAGCTTTTATTACCAAGGAAACATGTTTATACAGGTAGAGCTCACCTTACGACCACAAACAAGCCGACATTTCTGTTGCTAAGTGAGAGGGTTTTTGAGTTTCCCCCCCCCATTTTACGACCTTTCCTGCCACAGTTGTTAAGTGAATCACCGCAGTTGTTAAATTAGTCACACAGTCGTTAAGTGAGTCTAACTTCCCCATTGACTTCGCTTGTCGGAAGGTCGCAAAAGGGGATCCCTGGGACCCTGCGACCGTCATAAACATGAACAAGGATCTTTGCTCTTTACAAGGGGGCAATTTGTAGAGATGTGATTATATAGATCGGGTTTAGACATCTCACAAAGCCAAAACGTAGCAGTTGTAGCACTGATATGGCATTCAAGTTCAGGCCATTGTGGTTTATGCAGCAAACTATGATTAAAACAGGGCTTGGAAGGATATAGGAAACTTTTCAGGCTGGTGCTTCTCCCACCTTCCAGGGCCGTTCTCCCACTGTGTTAAAAAATAGTGTTTGCAAGCAAAAAATAATAATCCTTCTTTTCTGATAAGAATGGTGTGTACCCTCACTCCGATTTGTTGAAACTCTGGATTCAGGAGAATTTCATTTTAGAAAAGGCCCAGCTTGGGGTAGGTGAAACTTTGCACAGTTCCAGTTATGTCTCCACCTGTTCGAGGTTGAACCTGGGCCTCTCAGTCTCCAGTGAAACCATCCCCCTGTAATTTATGCCACCACAAGAGGTGCGGCTGTGTGGCAGAACACCTGCTTTGCACCCGGAAAGTCCAAGGTTCACTCTTCTTACAGGTTGTTAGTGATCAGAGTAGATACACACCCCTTTTCCACCTGTTCAGCGGACCCCCTTCTAAGTGTCCCTTTTATATATCTCGAGAGAAAGAACATTTTATTTATTGGCCAGATGTATCCTTTGTTCTGTAGGAAGTTAGCACCCACCCCTCTCCTAGAAAAATGACATATCCTAGGGAATATTTAAAAGGCAGAATATTCCACCTAAAAAGAGTAGAAACTCAGAGAGGCAGAAGCTCACTCCCACCTTTGCTAATGGACCATTACTCTGGCCTAGGCCAGTCTATTTTACATAACAAAGACCTACTCCAGGTAGAGCTAAAAGAGAAATTGCCCAAAGCCCTTTCATTACATCATCATCATCCAACAAGGCTCAACCAAGCCTGGGACTTAGCACAGCTTATGGAATTGCCCCTGCATGGCCCCATGGGAGTCTGACAACCAATCAGAATACAAGCTCAAATTCAAATCCCAACCGAGGGCATAAAACCCAGGGACTCTCAGCATATCAGCCCCCTTCCCCCCCCTTCTTTTCCTTCACCCAAGATCTTGAAGTGATCGTCCTTTTCACTTTGGAGCTCCAAGCTATGAGGTCCTGTCCACCATTAAACCTTCTTTCCAAGCAACTTCCATGAATCCAGTGTCTTTTTCCCCCTTTGGAAGTGAACCCAGAAGGATTTTTCTTCCAACAGTTCCATTCCAAAGGTGCTGTTTTTTTTTTCCCCCTTCCAAAAGGCAACTGGACTTTCTTGGTTCTCACCCAAGAAGCAAAACGTTTTCAAGGGGGTGGGGGGGAAGAAATCCAGTTACCTTTTGGAAAAAAGCACCTTTGCCCTGGATGATTGAACATCTCCACAGACCTCTAGTTCAATTACCAGCATCTTCTGGAAATAATCCTGTCTCAAAACATGTTCAGCTTCTCGCTGCACGTCTCTGTAGGTACAAGGCAATCCTTGACTTGCAACCACGATTGGGTTTCAGAATTTCCAGCAAGGGAGTCACATTTTAGAGTCACTTTCTTTCACTGTTGTTAAATGAGTCGCTGCTGTGGTTCAGGGACTCATGCAGTCCTTCCCCCATGGATTTTGTGGGTCAGAAGCCAAAGCGAGAAGGTTACAAAGGCTGATCCCACAATCCCGAGACGCTACAATTGTCATATATATATACATGCTGGTGGTCAAGGGACCCCGAATTCTGGCCACATGACCCTGGGGATTGCTGTGGCCTTTATACGTATAAGGACCGGTCACAAGTCAGTTGTTGTTTTTTTCAGTGCTGTTGTAAGGTCAGGCTGTCACTCATGCACCCTTTGGATAGGAGACCCCTGTGGTCTTCTGGAGGTGCTGCTGAACCACAACTCCCAGCAACCCCAACCAGCATGTCAAAAGGGGAAGGGTGGTTGGGAGGTGCAGTTTGGTAACAAGAGGCAGGGGGTGATGAACGCCCCTCCCCCCCAGACCCTTAAATGAAACCCCTCCTTCAGCCCTGTCTTTCCTTGCCCCATAAAAAGAGACCCACGCCCCCACCTTCCAGGCCCCGAGCGCCCGACACTCTGCACATGCTTCGGGGACCCCCTTTCCTCGAAGGCGGCGGGGAAAGCGGCTTCCCTGGCGGCGAGGCAATTGGCTAGAGGCGGCGGCAGGCAGCCCTCCTTGCCTGGCGGGGACGCGGACGACGAGCCCTCCCCGCGTCGCCTCTGCGCGCCCCCGTGATTGACAAGGCGGCAGGCGGCGCGCGGGAGCCGGGCGGACGCCGCCGCCGCTGCTGCTGCTGCTGCTGCTGCTGCTGCTGCTGCTGCGGGCAAGCCGACGGGAAAGGGAGAGCGGAGGAGGAGGGGGAGAGCGCGCAGACACCCCCCCTTCCCACTTCCCCGAAGCTCTCCCCTGCCTCTCGCCCTCCGGCCAGGCCAGCCGCAGCCTCGGGGCTCCCCGGCGGCCGCAGCGCGCCCCACCTCTCGCCCTCCCCTTCCCCCCGGACGGTGGGGCTGCCGCTTCCTTGCCGCGGAGCAGGCGGGGGAGCGCGAGGATCGCGGGGCAGCGGCCGGAGGGGCGGGCCGGCCACCCAGGTGGAGGGCTGGCGCGGTGGGGGCGGCGAGGAGGGGGCGGCCGCGGGGCCGCCGCCTCCTGGGGGGAGCGGGCCGCTGGCGGCGGCGGCAGTGGCAGCGGCGGCGGAGGCTGCGTCCCCCTGATCCGCGAGGAAGAGGAGGAAGAGGAGGAAGAAGAGGAAGAGGAGGAGGAGGAGGCGGCGGTGGCGGCCGAGGGGCGAGCGATGGACGAGGCCGCTATGCCGCCGCCGCCGCCGCCTCTCAGCCTGCAGAAAGCGCTGCAGCAGTGCGAACTGGTCCAGAACATGATCGACATCAGCATCTCCAACCTGGAGGGGCTGCGCACCAAATGCGCCACGTCCAACGACCTCACGCAGAAGGAGATCCGCACCTTGGAGGTAAGGGGGAGGGAGGGCGGGAGGAGGGGGAAGAGGGAAAGGTGCGCCTTCAGCCCTGCACCCCGCACCCCTACCCACCCCCCCACCCCCGCCCCGACGGCCGAGCGGGCTCCGGCGGGGCATGGATGCGTGTGAATGAGCGAAAGGCGGCGGCGGAGGCTGCGTGCGTCTTGCAGGTGCCCCAACGAGGCGCTCGCTTTTTTCTTTCGATGCGGGCTTGCGGCGGAGGGGGGGGGGGGCGGAGAGAGAGAGAGAGAGAGAGAGACTACGATCCCCTCTTCCTGGACCTCTGAATAAAGATGATTTCCCTCCCCTCCCCGGTTTTCTCTTCTCCACCGGACATGGGCAGAATAGTCGCTCCTCCTCTATCGTGTCTCCCCCGCCCCCTCCCCACTCCGCCCGCTTCCCGTTACAAGCGGAGGAGGCCAAATGCAGAAACGCTGTCCTATCTCCCCCCCCAACCATAGTAATAGCTAACACCCCCCCCTTTTGTGTTTGTGCGGGGGAGTTAAAAATAAACTGGTATCTGTGGAGTGGGGGTGGGTTGGGAGAGGGAAGGGGGGAGCAGAAAAGTCTCACTGAGTGGTTAATTGGATGTGGGGTGCCAGTCACAAGGAAGCCCTGTTGGGAGCAGAAAGAGGGGAGGGGGCTTTGCCACACAGAGTGGCCCCAACGGAAGGGACAGGGGAAGGGAGCATATCTATGCAGCAAGAGGTATTGAAGGGTCTCTGCAGGCCTGGCTCGACTAGGTCTCCGTGAGTCCACACAATGGCAGGTGGGAAACCTCTACAGGTCGTCCTCAACTTACGACCACAACGGAGCCCCAGAATTGTGAGAAATTTGAGAAATGAGAAATTTGTGAAGTGAGTTTGGCCCCCATTGCACGATCTTTTCTTCTTGCCGCCTTTGTTAAGTGAATTGCCACAGTTGTTTAAACTACTAACCCGGTTGTTAAGTGAATCCGGTGAATCCCCATGGCCTTCGCTTGTCAGAAGGTTGTGAAAGGGGATCCGTCATAAATCCAAGTCAGCTGTCAAGCATCCAAATGTGAATCACACAACAGCGGGGATGCTGCAAATGGTCCTCCGTCTGAAAAACGTTCATAACTCCCTTTTTTTCCCGGTGCCGTTCTTAATTTCAAACGGTCACTAAATGAACTGTTTGCAAGTCAAGGGCTACCTGTATTTTTATACCCAGCTGGATTCAGGTCTTTCCACTCAAAACTGAGGCTGACAGGTGAGAACCAAGTTGTGGTTTGCACAGCCTGGCAGCTCACCCACCTTCTTGCTAGTCTTGATGGAAAAAACGGTTCAGTGGGGAGAGCCCAGACGGCAGCAGCCTCAGGTCTGCCTGGAGAGGGACTGCGAAGAGGCCTCCATCTGCAAGCTGGGAGCCCCAACGGGCTGTCTGTTGAATCTTAATCATTCAGATTAACAGATGAACAGAGTTGGAAGGGACCTTGTAGGTCATCTAGTCCAACCCTCCTGCCCAAACAGGAGACCCTACGCCATTTCTGACAGATGGCAGTCCAGCCATCGGTTGATTGTTCTCCCTGTCAGAAAACTCCTCCTTATTTCCAGGTTGAATCTCTCCTTGATCAGTTTCTACCCATTATTCCTTGTCTGGCCTTCAGGTGCTTTGGAGAATAGCTTGACCCCTTCCTCCTCTCTGGGGCAGCCCCTCAACTATTGGAAGATGCTCTCCTGTCTCCCCTGGTCCTTCTCTTCCCTAGACTAGCCAGGCCCAGTTCCTGCAACCGTTCTTCATACGTTTTAGCTTCCAGTCCCCTCATCATCCTAGTTGCTCTTCTGTGCACTCTTTCTAGAGTCTCAGCATCTTTTTTATAATGTGGTGACCAAAACTGGATGCAGTGCTAATTTTCCTCCAGGCCAGGTGGATTGGCTGTCCACAGAGTCCCCTCATCCTTGGACTCTTAGTGTAACTCTTGAGCACCGTGCAACTGGATTTCACTGCCTTTTCCCCTGACCTGGGATTTTCTCATTTTTCCTAAGCTGGTTCCAGTATCTTCTTCCCCCTCCTTCCTGTTGGAAGTGCCTGTAGTTTGAGGAGGGGGATAATCTCACCTTTCCCCCCTCCCCCCCAGGTTCTGGAGGTGGGTACCGTTGCCTGGCAGCTGAGGAAACAATAGCATGAGAAGTGATTTATTTTTCAAATTGTTTCAACGGGCATGTTTTATTACCGTTAACAGCAAACGGTCTCTTGTTCGTTTATTCAATTCCTACGGCCACTAAAATTGCAAGAGTGGGTCTTAGGTGAGTTAACATTTGAAGAAAAGTGAAAATGTTATGACACCTGGGCTTTTCCCTTCCCCATCTCACATGCTTGGGGAAACTTGCCATTTCCCCTTTCTTTATGAAACATGGGTTTTTTGGATGGTGGCCCCTTCCCTATGAAATGTCACTCCCCCAGAGGCATGATTGGCCCCTATTCTCTTCCGAAAGGGCCTGAAAATCAATCCATCAATCAGAACAGAGCTGGGAGGGACCTTGTAGGTCATCTAGTCCAATGGTCGCCGACCAATGGGCCGGGGACCACTGGTGGTCCATGAGAAAATGTTGGTGGTCCGCAGAGAAATGTCCCCCCCAAAGCAATTAATCCAGGCTGCACAGGAATACAAGGCTGCGCTGCCCATATGGCCTGCCCACCCACTGGCCCCCACCCTTCGGCCGAGCGCAAACCTTACCTTGAGTAGAGCCACGCGAGCTGAAACTAGAAAGTAAGACCAACGGTGGGGGAGGGAAATCCGCCCCGGGGTGGCTTGCTGACAACCGGTGCACCGGCCTGCCATGGACTGGAGGAGCTGCTCCGGGATGACCAAAAGGCCAGTCCTGTGACTACTGCAGCTCTGGAATAGGGGACCAACTTTCCCACCAATGCCAGCAAGTCACTGTCAGTCAAAATTCATATTAGTGGTCTGCGGGATTTAAAATTATGAGTTTGGTGGTCCCTGAGGTCCAAAAGGTTGGCGACCCCTGTTCTAGTCCAACCCACCACTCAAACCCTATACCACTTCAGACAAGGGACTGTCCAGTCTCTTCTTAAAAACCTCCAGTGTTGGAGCACCCACAACTTCTGGTGGCAAGCCATTCCACTGGCTAATTGTCCTCACTTTTAGGAAGTTTCTCCTTAATTCCAGGTTGCTTCCCTCCCTGATTAGTTTCCATCCAGTTAATCAGAATAGAGCTGGAATGTGGGTCTCTGACAACGGGTCTGGGGGCCCTGAGTGGAGAGGGAGCAGATCCAGCGATTGTCTGATTGTGTTACTGCCGCCAGGGTGGCTGGGTGGGTTTAATTTATATTGAACTCATTTATATTGAATGTGTGATGTGGAATGTGAATTTTCAGTGTTGTGTAAAGCTACTCGGAGTCACCTGTGCATGAGTTGGGGTGGCTGTGTACATTTGTTTAATAAAGGAAATAAATAAGCTGCATGCATGTGCTGGAAGAGCACGCGAGCAAAATTGCACAAGAGCTTTACATCTCTGCGCACAGTAGTCCTTGATTTACGACCGCCATTGAGCCCAAAATTGCCATTGCTCAGCAAGGCAGTTGTTAAGCGAGTTTTGTCCCATTCTATGACCCTCCTTGCCACAGTTGTTAAGTGAATGACTGCAGTTGTTAAGCTGTTTAACTGGGCTGTTAAACGAATCTGGCCTCCCCGTTGACTTTGCCTGTCAGACAGTCGCAACAGCGGATCACGTGACTTCTGAGCCATCGCAACGGTCACAAATACATGCCACTCGCTAAGTGTCTGGATTCTGATCACGTGACCATGGAAGGCTCCAATGGTCGTAAGTGCAAAAAATGGTCATAAGGCCCTCTTTTCAGTGCCTTTGTAACTTAGAACGATCACTAAGTGAATGGTTGCAAGTCGAGAACTAGCTGTATTTCACCTACCAGTGGATTTTTTCTTGCATCAGTTGAATTCTTTGTTGTATACAAGATTATTGTGGGAATAGGGGTGTGTTAGTCTGCTGTGTCCCAAGTTCATAGTATCTCCCTGTCGCTCCATTCTGCCCAAAATGGCTATGATGATGAGTAACTTTTAACAAGGGGCTGGACTAGAAGACCTCCAAGGTCTCTTCCAGCTTCACTTCGCTTCGCTTTGCTTCGCTTCACTTCTATTCTATTCTATTCTATTCTATTCTATTCTATTCTATTCTATTCTATTCTATTCTATTCTATTCTATTCTATCCTATCCTATCCTATCCTATCCTATTCTGTTTTCTACTTTATTCCAAAATTCATTCTATTCTATATTCTACTCTACTCTACTCCAATATTCATTCTATTCTATTTTCTATTCTATTCTATTCTATTCTATTCTATTCTATGCTATGCTATGCTATGCTATTCTATTCTATTCTATTCTATTCTATTCTATTCTATTCTATTCTATTCTATTCTATTCTATTCTATTCTATTCTTTCTCTATTCTATTCTATTTTCTATTCTCTATTCTATTCTATTACATTCCACTCCATTTTTTCCATATTCTGTTCCGTTCCATTCCATTCCATTCCATTCTATTCTATTCTATTCTACTCTACTCTACCCTATTCTTATATCTATTCTATTCTGTTCTGTTCTGTTCTTTTCTACTAACTCTACTCTATTCTACTCTTCATTCTATTCTGTTCTGTACTGTTCTAACCTCTAACCTCCAAGCTTGGAACTCTGTGATTCTGTAAGGGTCTGCTGCTTGAACAGGGGTTTGGACTAGAAGACCTCCAAGGTCCCTTCCAACTCTGTCATTCTGTAATTAATTATAAAGTGGCAAGGTCGCAAAATAACATGATAACATGGTAGAGGTTTAGTTTTCAGAGTAGTTTATTTTAAAGGATTGGATGCAGGAGCAATGGAATGGCTTGGCTGCTGTGGGAAACAAAGGGTATAGATAGTTGTCAACTTACAACTGTTCGTTTAGTGACTGTTCAAAGTTACAACAGCACTGAAAAAAATGACTTGTGGCCATTTC